TGGAGAGCCGCATTCATGCCTCTGCACAGCAGCCTGGGCAACATAGTGAGACTGTCTCAGAAAGGAAAAGTGTTCACTAGAGGGGTTCAGTGCAAGATTTGTGCACACAAAAGAAAGGATCAGGGAGCCTGAAGACAAGGCAATTGGAATTATCCACTCTGAAGCCCAGAAAGAAAAAAACATGCAGAAAAATTGAATGACCTGAGGGACCTGGGGACACGCACATCACGGGATTTCCAAAAGGAAAAGAGCAATAGAAAAGGGAAGAACATTACTTGAAGGAATAATATTCCCAAACTCTCCAAATTTGATGAAATAAATGAATCTGCATATCCCAGAATCTCAACAAACTCCAAGCCAGAAAAAGTCAGAGATCCACAGTGAGAAACACTATTGTCAAATTGTCAGAAAAATAAGGACAAAGAAAGCAGCAAGACAGAAACAACTGGTCTCTTGCAAAGGAGCCTCAATAATACTTTTAGCAGGTTTCTCATCAGAAGCCTTGGAGACCAGAAGGCAGTGGTACAACATATTTAAAGTCCTGAAAGAAAGAAAGAAAAAAAAAACTGTTGACCAAGAATTCTAAGTCCAATAAAACTAGCCTTCAAAAATGAAGGAAAAATTAAAACGTAAGTGCTCAGGAGTTCATTACTCACAGAACTGCGCTGCTAGAAATGCTAAAGGCGCCCGTCAGGCTGAAATGGAAGGGCCTGAAGCAGGGACGTGCAGCGGTGTGAGGAAAGAAGCACTAGCAAAGGCAACGACACAGGAAAACATACAGGGGTATGATAGTTTGGTTTGTAACTCCTGTTTTTTCTGCATGATTTAAAAGACCAATTCATAAAACAATAATCATAAATCTATGTTAATGGGCATACAACATACAAAGAGTTATCTGTGGACCCCAAATATCTGACACAAGTCTCGGTCAAGTCAGGAAGCTTATTTTGCCGAGGCTGAGGACGCACGCCCGTGGCACGGCCTCAGGGTCCTGACGACGGTGCCCAAGGTGGTCGGGGTACAGCTTGGTTTTGTACATTTTAGGGAGATGTGAGACATCAGTCAGCGCATGTAAGATGGACATTGGTTCCGCCCAGAAAGTAGGACAACACAAGGCAGGGAGGGAGCTTCTGGGTCATAGATAGGTAAGAGATAAGCAGTTGCATTCTTTTGAGTTTCTGATTAGCCTTTCAAAAGGCAGTGATCAGATATAATTCATCTCAGTGAGCACAGGGGTGACTTTGAGCTCTGTCTTTTGAACACAAAAAATCTTGTGCACAGTTTCTGCAAATTTGTCCACAAGGAGCTAAGGCCAAAACACTGGTCTCTTTTATACACACCCATGTGCCAGGACACCCTGATGGCCTCAGCTTCTGCAGTTCTCCCCACCTGCCTGCCCTCCACAAGCTGCCTCTCGCTGCTCTTCCGTGAGGCGGTCAGGGATCTGTTAGAGCCTGGCCACTCGAAGGCCCTTCCTCTGCAGTCCCTGTTCACACTTTACCTTGTCTGAGCCTTCCAGGGACCACCCTATTTTTGAAATTTTATATTTTATTTGTTGAAACAGGGTCTTGCTCTGCCACCCAGGCTGGAGTGCAGTGGTGCAATCATGGCTCCCTGCAGCCTCCATCTCCCAGGCTCAAACGATCCTCCTGCCTCAGCCTCCAAAAGTGCTGGGATTCCAGGTGTGCAACACTGTGCCTGGCCCCACCCTCTTTTATTTCATTTTAGTTTTTAGTTTATTATTATTTTTAAGATGGAGCCTCATTCAGCCACCTAGGCTGGAGTGCAGCGGCGCGATCTTGGCTCACTGCAACCTCTGCTTTCTGGGTTCAAGCAGTTCCCCTGCCTCACCTTCTGAGTAGCTGGGATTACAGGTGCCCACCACAAGGCCCAGGTAACTTTTGTATTTTTCGTAGAGATAGGGCTTCACCATGTTGGTGGGGCTGGTCTTGAACTCCTGACCTCAAGTGATCCACCTGCCTCAGCCTCCCAAAGTGCTGGGATTACAGGTGGGAGCCGCCGAGCTGGGCCCCACCCTATTTTAGCTTGCAGCCCCCCACACTTACTGCGTCAACTGGCTGTGGTGGCCTCCCCCATGCAAAGGTCGGCTCCATGATCCCAGATTGCCTGGACCGTCCTGGTTTTAGCGCTGATGTCCTGCTCCAAGACACTCCTTGGTGCCAGGCAGCCCCAGACTTGGTCCCCAGCTGCAGGCCCGGGGATCTTTGCCAGTGTTTGTTCCTGGCACTGGGTCAGTGCCCAGGGCCCACTCAGCTGTGTGTGATGAGTGAATGAGGCTGGTGGGAATCCAAGGCTCACCCGCATTACGCTGTGGCCCAGACGTGAGCAGGGCTGTGCACCGGTGCAGGTGCCCCTGCCTGCCCCTCCTGCACCCCCCTTTCTGGGGTCCTCAGTCCTCAGCACTTTTCTGCTGGCAGGTGTGGGGGCGGGTTTCCGGCGGGGGTGGTGGAGGGAGGGCAGCGTCCCTGGCCGAGGTGGTGGGTGTGCCGGGCTGTGGGTGCCCCCTGTCGGCTGCGGGGGCAGCTGATCCAGCTCAGCACCAGCCCTGAACGCCACTGCCGCTTGCTGGCAGCACATGCGTGTCCTCCAGCAGGTGCCTCCCCTGTCTGGGAGGGGCGGTGGGAAGCTGAGATCTGAACACAGCCTCTCAAGAGTCCCAAAAGACTCAGTTTCCCCCATCTGTGGGAGGGCCAGGGCTACAGCAAAGGCTTGAGGGAGCCCATACCTGGTCAGGTAGGAGCTCAGCCCCATGACCCTGCGCTGGCAAGTCCTCCCCAGCCCCACCTAAAGGCCAGCCAGGATTCCGAGTAGCCCTGGGTCAGAGCAGGGGTCTTCGTGCATCACAGGGAGCACCCCTGGCTGGTCCAGGAGTTGGGTGCAGGAACCTGGGGCGGGGGCTGCCCTGCTGAGCCGGGACATTGTCTTCTGGCTAGGGGTGGACAGGGGTGTCTAGAGGAGACATGGAGAGTGCAGAGTGGCAGCCCATGCTGCCCCTCCCACCACCCCACACCCCTGACCTCCAGGTTAGGGAGGGGCAGCTGGGGCACCCTCTCCATGCTCCCCACTGGCCTCCCTGCCCCTGGCCTCCAAACCCAGGTACTCAAGCCCCTCACCCGGCCTGGCCTCTGCATCTCCAGGGCGTCCCCACTACTGCTCCTTTATGGGGACACTTGGATGGGAATGTCTGGTCACACCATGTGGCACTGACCTTAGCTGACCCCAAATCCACTCCTGGAGGTCCTGCCCCTCTCCTAGCTGAGTCCCAAGGTGCTGCGTACCCCCCACATGCCCATGGGGGCAGGCACTGGGCCGGTGTTTACTGAGGGGAGGGGACTTACTGGCCCTCCAGTCCCTTCTCCAGTCTGTGGGGCATAGCAGCCTCCATTGCAGGAGGGAAAAGAAGGCCCAGTGGCCGGTGGCAGGGTGGAAGAGGGCAGCCTGGGCTGGACAGCAGTGGGAGTGTCTGTCTGTCTGGGCACATGGCCCTGCACAGCACTCACCTGAGAGAACGTCCAGGCTCCAGAGGGCGGCTCAGCGGGGGAGCCTGGTGGCAACAGGGCCCACACGGGAGTTCTTCAAGGGCTGACCGCATAGCCCACTGCACAGACCACTGCTGGGGACCCCTGGCTAGGGCCTGGATGTGCCACTTGAAACGTCTGAGAACTGCACATCCCAGCAGAGAGCCCCCAGGCAGGCAGCCTCTGAGGCCACAGGAAGTGGCAGAATCTTGCTGCATAAGTGGAGCTGGGATCCGGGGAAGCTGAGACCCCCTGGAGGGGTCTGGGCAGGGTGGGTGCTGCAGTGAAGTTCAGCACTCAGAGGTGCACAGACAGGAGACGTGACTCCAGCCAGGAGGGGTGCTCTGGGCACAAGCTGGGGTGATCCTCGACCTGTAGGGCTATTGGCCCCACAGGGTCGTGGGGTGTCCCTTATCCTGTGCTGAGGTGTGGGATCTAAGAAGAGACAGGACACTGAAGGACTGGAAAAGAGCATCTGGACTCGGGGGCCACGCCACTTATGAGTGGAGGCAGGCGAGGCCCTGAATGTCCAGAAGCGTCTGTATGTATTAGGTACAAACAGGGGGCAGGGTCGTGAGGTCATCTATAGGCTTAGTGATAGGGCATACATAATCGCATGACTCACAGGTAAGGGGCCACCCCATTAAGTCACCTGGGCAGAGGTGGGCCGTGCGCAGTAGGGGGCTGTGCCGTACGCAGTAGTAGAGGGTCGTGTACAGAAAAGGGATTCACCCCCATTAGGTCACCGAGGCAAGGAGGTGGGCTGTGTGCAGCAGGTGTCGTGCGCAAGACTTCTTATCTGAGGGCTGGAGACTTCAAAGGGCTTCTAATAGAAGGATACTGTAAGCCAGTGCAGTGGGAGCTGGCAGACGTGTGCTCTTCTCAAGATATTTATGGGAGGATTCTTTGAGCTAACACAGAAGGGAGAAAAGACTGACAGGGTGCACAGCCACCATGATTGGTCACACAGAGGGGTTCTTCTCCCTCGGTTACTTCCAGGATCTCAGGCCTGAGGCCGACTTTCCACAGGAACTGGATGCGAGGTGCTACAGCTCCTTTATCAGGAGGAGGGGCTCCTGCTCCAAGCCTGCCGTACAGCGTATGCCCTTTCAGGCAGGGACGCCACCCCTGGGGTCTCTGGTTCTCGTGCTGGTCTGGCTGTTTTCCCCTGTGCTGCTTCTGTTCTGTGACTGCTCTGGGCATTCCTCCTACTACAGACTACTATGTGGTTCTATGGAAGGATCCTATAAATCAGCACTGAATGTGTCCGTACAGCTCCGACTACAGTACCTATATGATTATACAGAAAGATTATATGGAACTACGTATATTAGATATAAGTACTAAGTATGATTATATAAGCTAGATATATGGAAGCAGTAAGTTATACTTCAGGCACTAATTCTGTAAACTAATCTATGATTATATATGAAGGATTATATAAAGGAAACAGCTGAGTAATAACACTATAAACTAAGATGTCTTCAGGCACAGCTCTCCTTCCTTGGTGCCCGTGTTGGGGGTTATCCACGTTGACCACCTTGAGCCTGGTCAGCTACAGGAAGGGGGGTTGCATCCTGCACCCTGGAGCACCGGGAGGCTCTGGGCAGCTGCCAGGCCTCCAGGACCTTGATTTCAGGGCCAGGGACTGTGGCCATGACCATGAGTTTTCTGAGAGGGAGGCTGGGGTCCAGCATGGCAGGGCCAGCACCTTGGCCATCTGGGGAAGGGGCAGCCCACCCACGTCCTGCTGTTCCCATGGGACTCAGGAAAGGGCTGAAGGTCTTCTATGTGACCTGGAGCCCCTGTGAGCTGCAGCCCCAGGAGAGCCAGCAGGTGCCTGGGCCCCACGGTCAGGTGAGATCACCTGCACTCTGACGGGGCCTGGCTCAGCTGTCGGGGGCTGCGCCTTGGCCTCCTGCCCCCCAGCAGTGTGGCGCTGGCACCTACTTGTTCGTGAGGAGGTTCCTGGCCTCAGGCTGTGGTCCCAGGGGGGTGGGTGCAGCTGGAGAGAGATGTGGGGCACCCCCCAGCCCTGCCCACACTGTGGGAGGCTGAGACAATGTGGGGGAAGGGGAGGGGCTGCCCAGTCCTGGAGGGCAGTGGCTGTGGATGTCAGCCTCCTGGCTGTAGGGACCCTCAGCAGACAAGTGAAGGAGGGATCCACCCCAACCCCGAGAGCAGCATGTGTGCCCCTCAGGTCTGCCAACATTCCCCCACTTAAGTCAGGCCCAGCCCTTCTGCTGCCTCAAGGGCTGGTCTCTGGGGCCGTGGACTTCCCAGTGTGGCACGGGCACTCCACAGTGGCTGGCCCAGCCCCAGGGACACTTGACCAGCAGGGGGCCACCACCTCTTTGGTCTGTGATCTGCTGGAGGTGATCTTTGCTGGGGAGGGGGACCCAGGCTTGGCCAAAAAGTCCTGCTGGGAGGAGGAGATAAAAGTGTGTGGGTCCTGCCATGGCCCTGGGCACGTCCTGGGGCAGCAGGCTGCAAGCTGTCCTGAAATGGCGTGGCTCGCTGAGCTGAGGGTACATTCCAGAGACCCCTGTCTGGCCTGCTGGTGCTCCCTGGAAAGGGTCTCCAGGGGCCCCGGGTGCCCAGCTGTCCTATCCACTCCCGCCCACCCCTCCCACCTCTGTGGCTCTTGCAGTTCATCCCACCTGAGGCTAGGGGAGCTCTGGAGCTCACAGGGAGGGGGGCAGGTGGGAGTGCCAGCTCTGACCCTTCCTGGACTCCAAGGCAGAGCCACGCTCCTGACCACACCCAGGACACACGTGCTTAGTTCTGTCCACTGGGCGGAGTCCAGTCCCGATGTGCCCTGGGTCCTGGGAACCTGGGCCTCAGTGGCTGGTGTGCTGAGGGACATCTCAAGTCGCTCGCAATTGGAATCAGAGCTCTGATCAGGGGAGGTGGACCCTCAGGGAGGAGGCGGCCAGGCCAGTGATGGAGTGAGGCCAGGGAGGGCGTTCGGGAGGCCAGTGGCGTGTGGTACAGGGAACTTCGAGGCTGGAGGGCAGTGGTGGGTGCAGGCCTTGGCTTGGTGCAAAAGCCTGGCTCAGGGCTGGGTGGTCTCCCCATCCCCCCCACCCAGTCTCCTGTTCAGCGCACGCCACGCCCAGCCCACTGAGGGAGGCCGGGAGTATCTGAGTCCAGTCTTCGGCCCCCTGCGGCCCCTGAAAGCTGGGCACCCCCTGGTGTGGAGGTTGCAGAACTGCTGTGGAACAGAGAAGTGCACGTCGGTCCTCCAGCCCTGCAGGCATAAGGCAGCTCTTCAACACAGCCTCCTGCTTCCCCGAGGTGTGGGGGATGGGGCGTGGGGGTGTGAACTGAGGTCCTGCAGTGGAGGAGATGGGTACGGGCTGGGCACAGCAGCGACGCCCACCTGGATGCAGATGCCTGGGGCACAGGCCTCCTGCTTGGGAAGGTCCAGGAAGGCAATGGCAGGGGCAGCTTCGAGGTCAGCCTGGGTGGGGGAGGGCAGACCAGGAGCCTGTCCTTATTCCGTACCCTCTCAGCACCCACAAACAGGCCCCCCCACCCCTCCCTGCCAGGTAGGCTAGACCCCAGGTGGGCTCAGGGCCTAGGTGGGGCAGAGGCCCCCCAGGGAAGTGATAGGGTCCTGACACCCACCACCACCTCCCCAGGACGGAGCCCCACCCGCCTGGCTCACTGAGGCTGGAGGAAGTGGGCTGGCCTGGAGTGCGGGTTGGCAGGCTGGGAGCTGTGACCTCCTCCTGTGACACAGTTGCACCTGGAAGTTGGCGGGGCTGGACGAGAAGAAGGTGGCCCGGAGGTGGCCCTGCCTGGGTGAAGGCTGGATGGTCATCTTCCAGGCTGTGGGGGGTGAAGGGTGAGACCCCATCTGGCCCCGCACCCACCACCTCCCTTCCTTCTCCGGTGGGCCCGGCACCCACCCACTGTACCTCCCCCTCCCACTGGGCCCCACATTGGCCCCGAACCCTGTCGTCCTGCCTCCCCATCCAACAGAGTGAAGTGAAGGGTGTTCCACGCCACGTCCACGCTGCAGAGGCCCCATGGAGAACTTACTTGGGAACTGACGCCGTTTGAAAGGGCACCGCACCCAGGACCCCCAGCTGGTGGAGAACTGCAAAGCGGGGTAAGGAGTGTGGGTGGGTGGAGAGGGTGCAGGGAGACAGGCTGGCTCAACTTCAGGGTGCTCTGGGCCCAGTTCTCCTTCTTGGGCCCTTAGCTCACCCACTGTCAGACCAGGAGGGGGCTCTAAGGGACTGCGTAGAGGCTGGGCAAGGGCCCCTGCCCCACTCCCTGCCCTGATGCCCCTGGCCCATCCCCAAGCAGGGCACTGGCAGGCCGCAGCAACCCCTCACCTTCAGGCAGAGCTGGGGCTGGGTGTCCACCAGCTGGTACTGCACCTGAGGAGGGCTCAGGTCAGGCTGTGGCATCCACGCCCACCCCCAACCCCGCCGTGTGGGCACTCACTCTGTGATGCGCTAGCTGGCTGGAGTGCTGCAGCTTATGGCAGCTGTCCCCGGGCCCCGGGCACCAGCACAGGCTCACTTGGCCACTCACAGGGCAGGCAGGCTCCCAGCTCAGTGTCTGGCTCCCGGGGTGGTAGTGGACTGTGTTCCACAGCATCTCCAGGGCCCGAGTGTCTGCAGGAACCCTCCCCCCCCCAACCACAGGTCAGTTGGGCCCTACTCTGGCTGCCAGTGGGCCCATGGGGTCACCCACTGCAGTGACCACTGGGCCAGGGTCCAGAGCAGTCCTCCTATGGTCTGTGAGCTCAGACCCAAGTCTGTGCACATGTGTGCGTGGATGTGTGTGCATGTGTGTGTGCCTGTGCATGGATTCGCCTGCCTATGCAGTGTATGAGTGTGTATGTGCATGAGTGCATGCGTGTGTGCAGGGGTGCATGTCCGTGGGAATGGGCGTGCATGTGCACATGTATGGGTGTGCACGTGTGTGTGTGTACAGCGTCACTGAGCAGAACCGAGAGCAGGGCAGCCCTCAGACAGCCCCTCTTGACAAACTTGGTGTTCCCAGGTGAGCTGGTCCACGTGTGCACACATGTACACTGCACGCACGTGCACACACACACTTGTGCACATCCACATCTGTGCTGAGGTTCCCTCAGTGGCAGGCCCTTCCAAGCAGGCTCAGGGGTTTAGGCCGGGCCTGCCCCTTGTCTCATCCCCCCACGTCACGCCTCATGGTGGGGTCAGACTGGCCGCAGTCATTCCCACCCTTCCGCCCCTTGGCATCGCACGACACTTGCCGTTCTCAAAGGGGCAGATCTGGGTCCGCACGGCGTCAGGGGTGGCAGGCCAGCCCTGCGGGAGGGACTGGGGTCAGGACAGGCCGCTCATCCCTGTGTTCCCCTACCCACCCCGAAGTCCAGGCCACACCTCCACCGACCTCCAGGCACAGGCATGGCAGCTCCTGGCTGTAGGGCAGGGAGACGGTCCGGGAGACGCTGCTCGCGTTCACCTGCAGCGCGGAAGGACGGCTGAGCAGCCGCGCGGGCGGGCGGGGAGGTCTGGGGTAGGCGGGGCCTGGGCCAAACGGGGCGGTGGGCGGTGCGGGGCGGTGGTGCGGTGGGCGGTGCGGGGCGGCGG